TCTCTTACCTCTTCCCTCCCCTACCCAAATATAGAATTTCATCTTCTTGAAAACTGTGCCCAACATTAGATTTCTTATATTATTTTCCAGGTAATTCATTATAGGACACTCACAGCTCTTATACAAGTGCTACACTAATTCCAAGTATTTACTATATATGCCTAAAAAAAGCTTAATAAAATCCTGTTCTAGTTATTTGAGTTTTCATGACAAATCCATGCCCAAAATATGAACAACTCTTAGTTTTTAAAATAAATACAAGTATTGCATATTATGCATATTTATTGAGATTATTGAGCGTTTATAGTAGACTTTGAATGAAAGTGAGTCACTGCAACTGTGACATGACAAGACAGTACCTCCACTCAGGCATCCACCTTAAATATCTTTCCAGCAATTTCTCCAGGGCTTGCACTTGGCTTTCCTAACTCCCTCCTATTTGACAGGTGCTAATCTTTATTTCCTCCAAGAGGGATGATAAGAAAAGCAGTGTGTAAATGCTGATGAAGAAAAGTGAAATAGTGAAGTATGCCACAGCTGTGTCCTTTACACCACAATATCTACGTTGTGTGGTAGGTGCTGACTCTGGCCCTCGTGAGTTGCTCCTTGGGGAAAGTTGTTATGAATATAAAAAGGCTTTGCTCAAATCCTAGATGTTCATATCAAACTTGTTAAGTTTGATAACTTTAGCCTAGCTGCAGAATCTTCAGTGGCTCAGAGCTCATACAAATTTCAGCAAGCAGCATTTTGCACTGTCCTGCCTGTGCTGTTGAGATTCCACCCAGGACAATTACTGTAAATCAGTGATTCATCTGCATTGCCCACTCTAGCCTGGAGTTTCCTTTTGCTTACAGTAGCTTGCAGCCAAGCATCCTTATTCTCCCAATTCCTAACACATTGGGCTTTGGTGTCTTGCCTGTCTCCAGGAGCAGAACAAAATACTAAATGAGAAAGCACTTCAAAATGAAAAGTCACTACCTTAAAATTTCCTGGCAATGTATCTTGAAAAATCTGTGCAGGGAAAAAAAATATTAACAATTATAATGCAGATCAAATACCGGACCTGAACCATAAAGCTATTTCCCTTTTAACTTAATGCACAGATATCTCAAACTGAGGGTATGAGTGGGCTGAAACAACTAATCACATTTTGGCACAGACAAGTACAAAAGGAAACCCAGAACTACTAATTCAACAGCTTGAAATATCAGCTGCTGCACGCAAGATCTTTACAGAGCTCCTCTGAAGAGAACATACCCTTTTAAAATTGTGATTTTTCATTTAAAAAATGTCAGAAAAATATCTCAGGAAAATTATGGAAGAATACAGCATTATTGATATAAAGCGTGAATCCACTGAAGTCTCATAGACATAAGGTTCCCTTACCTCCACTCCTAATTTCATCACATACATTCCTTTCAGCTATCAGGGTCCTATCACACATTTTGCATATTTTCCATGCATATGTTCAGAAATGTTATTCAGTAATAAAAAACAGGTCTAAAATAGGAGAAGTGACGTAAGAGAGAGAAGTTCAAGGAGGTACAATAACATCCTAGAAAAATGTGTCCCCCATGGCTTTGGGGCTGCAAAGCATCTCAACACATCTTTGCTCCAAACATTTGCCAAAGACCTTCACTATAACGCTGTGGGTCCTTGGAGACCATATAACTGAAGGCACAAAGAAGCATATTCATTTGTCCTTCAGAGAGAAATTAGATGGATAAGTATGCTTCTGTGATAGGACCCTTACCTATAGCTCCTCTGCAGCTAAAGAGGTGCAGCTGTGCTGTTCAGCAGGCATTTCCATGTCACTGTACCCTTTTTCACCACTGTGACACGAATGACCCAAGTGTACCTTCATTCCACTCATTCTCTGGGATCAGCAGCTGATTTCAGTGACTCAGAAACAGACTCTTCAAAACAGAATATTATCTAAACATTAGCTGTTCACCCAAGTGACACACAGTAACCAGATAAAAATGAGAAAAAGACTCCATCCTTCCTTGCCTATACTGTACCTTTCCCTACAGAATTTAGGTAAATTACACTTGAGAGCAGCTACCTTGTTCCTTCATGTGTAGGAGGGGAAGACAGTTTCTCCTCTGGCTTGTTCTCTTTGTAACTGCAGGCTTTGATCCTATGCTTGGGCTAGATGAAGGGAAAACTAACAGAGTAGGCAGAGACAGACAGACAGGGATGCCCTCCATTATTTCCTCTACCACTGACCTCTTCCAGGCTGCTGGTATGTTTGTATTATCCTCATCTGTCATAATTTTGCTTTCTTAAAAAAAAAAAAAATCTTCCTGTTCTCACCTACAGAACAGCAAAAAGTACATAAATTGGCAATGGATTTACTTTACTTTTTATACAGGTAATAAACCTAGAAGCCCAAAATCTGACCTCTCAAAAAAAAGGTAGCATATGATTCCTTGACAAATATGGAGTTCACCAGTGCTGAAAGGGGAAAAGATCCAAGTCTTACCCTTCCTTCCCTCCTGCTGGCTGCATATCTTCCTTCTACCTTGTGCTGGCTCTGCCATTCATTGAGAGCAAATATGAGTCACAGAGGTAGTAAAAATACAGTCCATGAAAAGGGAATAGTGTTCTGCCCTATTAAGAAACTCAGAAAAGGATCTGACAAGCATCTCAATCAGCACATCCAGGAAGTTGGACCCTGCAATTAGAAGAGAGGAAGAAATAGAGGGGAAGGAAGGAAGGGCGAGATGTTCTTTTGAAAGGAAAAAGCTCAGTGGCTATCTGAGTCCATAAGTAAAACACTGAAGGAAGAAAGAGGGAAAATCGAGTTTGAAGGCTGCTGATAATAGCAGCATCTCAAACCCTTCTCAGCCATGGGAAGGCTTTGGAACGGTCTTGGCAAATATCTCTTACTGCTCATGTACAGCTACAATCCTGTGGATCTTTAGCTCCTCCTGTCCAGCTTCAACAAATTTGCATTTGAGAAAAAGTGACTGAACATACATTAAAAATGAGTTGCTAGGAAAAAGGAAGGATTTCTTTACTGCAGGAATATTCTTCAATGTCAAGGAGCTGCTGGCAGTGCTCGGCCTCTGGGACTATGCCTAAAGAGCTGCAGCAGAAAAAAGCTCTTTCTTTTATATGTAAGCGCCAGGATACTGTTCCCCATCCCACCCAGGTATATAAATGGCCCTAGAGATCCATATATTCTAACCTTCAGACTTTATTACCATTAATTATATCTGGAAGTGAAGCCAGGATCCCCAAGAACACGGTAGTAGGAACAAAACACAATCATCCATCTGCCTAGCAACATGGGTTGCCATAAGTACTTCTCCCCGTGCTCCAAAGGCAGCAGGGGTTCGCCACTGAATGCTGAGCCAGGCTCAAGGGCCCCATACTGGTATAGAAAGATTGCTTCCTCAGATGGAGACCTTGCCATCTCCAAGACCTTCCTCTGTAGCCTAGATTGTGTCAGCCAGCAGCCTGGCATTTGGAAATTAGGGACTTCTGGAGTACTGAGATAATGCCAGTGGAATTGCTCTTGCAAGAAGCAAAAGCAATGATGTTGAGGACATCAATGCCATTTAAACTCCATTCTTCCCTTCCCTTCTCTGTTCTTTAGAGGAAGTTCTTTCCATGTTTTAATATCATGCCAAAAAAGTCCCCAGTAACATGCTATCAAATTACTGACTTCTCACACTTACAAAGAAAAGTAGAAAAACCTGTGAGTGGTACTGAAGACATGGAAATACTCTGTAACATCCCTAGCTCAGGATTCCTTTGAATCACAAACCATTTGTATGAAGTTGAGAGACAGAGTATTTAAGATAGTCATTGTGCGGTTCTCCAATGGTTCACCACCTGCTTTAGGCCTCATTAGAAGAAAGGACAGTCAGAGACAGGTTTTGACATGTCCCAGAAGGTTCATTTTGCTGTTCTTAAAAAAGCAAAAGATTACTTGACAATTATTTAACATTTAAGGGAGCTTCCCAATAATATGGTTATCTAGAAGCTGTTTAGAAATAGAGATTCATGAGGAAAACACAAATTCAAGGTTTCAGACTGACATCTGGACAATTGTAACTTAATGGAATTGATGAATACTGGAATTATATTTATGTTACCAATATTGTGAAGTTAACCTTTAAAAAAAAGCTCTTACTTTGCTGTTTGCTATATCATAACATGCAATTTAAGAGTATGAAGGCCATGGCAGAGATAAATAAGCCCAAAGTGCATTTTACAAAGATATCAACCATGACACAGAAGTAGTTAACCTTGGGATGAGAGAAGGAACTAAAGGTTGTGCATCTGAATGATCATATATGGCCCTTAATCAGTTGAGACATGATATAGTGCTTTTTAATACTTAGAAAAATCTTCTTTGTTCATGAAGTAGCAGAACTACTTCCTTTTCTAGCATCTGTCAAGATTATTTGGGCATGAAAATGTTGCTGTATTCACTAAGTTAGTAATAGTCAAAACAAAAATGGACCTGGATATAGAAAATTTAAACACTTCTGATTACTTTCTTCAGAATGCAAATCTTCATTTATTTAAAAAATCTAAACTATCTGCTTGTGAAGATGATCCTTTTAAATCCACAGTAGGACAGTAAGGGAGAAAATCATCTTCCATAACAAGTGCCATTCAGTGGGAATAAAGTTAAGGTCTGGGGGGATCATCTTAATTCACAATTTATTCATCTCCACTAACACAAATGGCACAGGATTAAGCATAATGTTATAGCATAAGCACCACCTCAATTCTCATTCATCTCAGTGGTTTTTTATTCCAAAGACTAGTTGCATGGCTAGCTTGTTTTTTCCAGATCCATGAATTTAATTTATTACTTAAATATAAGCTTTAACTTCGCAGATATCAAATGCATTTCCATATTTAAAGTTAACTCTAAGTAGAGACACTAAGTAGAGTATGTTTTCTAGACTTCCTATACAGACTTAATATTATAAAATGAAAGTCGCATTGAAATAAAAATATACTTTGTTATTTTAACAGGGGAGAGAAAAGAAATGGAACTAAGATACATCCCAGAAACATTTTCTATACCTTCAGAATAAGAAAGAAATTGAACTCCTATTTGATTCTCTCATGAGGGATAGGGAACTTTGATGCACTGTGGCAAGAAGATATATAGCTGTATTAATGAAAATCTAATCTGTGCTCAGAGACTTTGCATGCTGGCTATAAATGTAAAATATTCATACCACAATAGACTGTTAGACTGTCAAAAGTTGAAGTTCAGCCAATTTTACCAGAAAGAGTTGACATTTTGCTGTATTCTTCATTCTGGGGAGCTGAGAAAATAAGCTATCAAAACCATTCCTCCACTTGTAAATTTTGCCAGTGCAACTATTTAGATATGGCATAAATCTAGAAATAGGAAGTGTTTGTCTACTGCACCATTTAGGGAGAGTAACTCAAACTAAGAGCAATAACAAATACTTTGGATTTGTGAGTTTTTGTGGCACTGTGCCAGGACAAGAAGAGGCATCATTTCCTTTTGTATCACCTTCTCTGCATGACCCAAGGAACGACCATGAAAGGATCTGAGGAGAAAACCGATTAAGCTAGAAAACACACTTTTTTGGTGGTTGTGGTTACCAGGCTGTGGGCTGGGCTAGTGTAGCAGGAAGGACAGTGTAAGAACAACTGACAGGAGCTGAGGAAACACAGACCTGCCAGCAAGGAGCAGCCTGACACTTTTCGGCACAATCCTCCAAGAAGGGGCTTTGTTCTGTCACTGGCTTGCCTTCTCCCAAATCAGATGGCTGCTGAACTATCTCCAATCATGCTCCATTCACATGGAGGTGCACTGAGGAAGCAAAAGCAGGGCTTGAAAAAAGAAACATCATCATTTGTTAGACTAGCTGACAGAGCTAATGGGAAAAAAAAAAAAAAAGCCCTAAAAACATCAACACAGTGGTTTTGGACATATAATCCCTTTTTCAGCTCTGAAAAGAAATTTCATCCCTTCAACAGAGTGCATTGGTCATCATTTCCAAATAACTGCAGCTTTATTATCTTACCTCATTGGAGTGAAATGGCTAGGCAGGAGTAGCAAGGTAGAGGTGTTTGCAAAGGAAAACATGATAAGGACATTAGCCTGGTGGAATAAAAGACAAGCAGTTATCACATGCAGAACCCTAAGGAGCAGGGAAAACTGCAACATGCTAAACTGATCCTAATAGATACCGCAGATAGATGCAAATGAAGGAGACTTCACTGGAAGAGGCACTTAAGCATCCTGATAAAGCCATTTAAATAGTCTTTGGTTTGGGCAATCAGAGCTCTATCACTTAAGAATTTATGAAACCTGTGCAATGAACCACACCAGGGAAATGACAAACGACCTGAAAAACAACCCAGGAAATACAAATAGGCCACAAAGTACTAAGGGGTTATTACTCTGTGAGACTAGTTCTCATTTGCTGAATAGTCACATAAAGACATGCACAGCATAATGCAGGGAGCAGCAACTGCTTAGGCCATGGCTGCTGATGAGACAGTTGCTTGTCAGACACACTGATCACACATAAGTCAGTGAGCAAAATTATTCCAGCACATAAGGATTTAAAGTATAAGAAAGCTGTAATCAATTACTTCCTCACTTTAGGAAGCTATGGCTAAGACTATACAGGATAGTGAAAATGGACTACTTAATATAGTAAGTAAGTTTTACCTGCTAGCTGAACTTTCCAAAGTGGAAATACAAGTTTAATAATCTGTCTGAAACTCTGGGTCTGTAAACCTTTGATAGGTAAACTCTTCCCAGTTCTATTTCATTAGCACGATGATTTACCCTCAGGAACAGGATGGCTATGGAAATAAACCTAAAAGTGGTATCACTTACAGTGCAACATAATTATTTTTTCTAATTGCTTATTGAAATATATATTAAAACAGAACATAGTTTTTATCTGGTTTTATATATATTTGCATGATACAACAGTATTTATTAGCATTGCTGTATATATCAGTAACACCTTGAGATCTGGAGCTATTGTCAGTTCAGTTCAACTCAACCAGACAGAGCCCAGTTTTTAACTAAACCTCCTGTTCTGGAAGCCTGAAGACCAAACCTTGCTGCAGTGGTTTGAGGCAATAATGTCTCTTAGTGACCTTACCTTCCACTACCAGCTCACATCTCTTATTCTGTAATGGAAGAATCTGGTAACAGTGGGTATGGATGTCCTGGTATGTCTCCTTCCATCTCCCTTCCCCTCACCTTGGCTGTTCAACACAGTACAGCATATTTAATAATTTAAATTTATAAACATAGCTGTGGCTCAGGGAGTGGTCACACATTCCATTTTGCCACTTCTCAAACAGTGCAGCTGCTGGGACAATAAAATCTTAAACCACGGTAGCTAAACTAGAGACAATCTGGCATTGAAATTAATAAGTGTGGGTTCTTTGTTACCAGACCTCAGCTGGCAGCCTGGATAAGTATTTTAACCCCCATTTTTCAAAGACCAAAACATGTAAGTGAATGTTCAACTGCAGTTGTTCACCAGATTAAGAACCAAGTTCCAAGAGCTCAGGATGCTCCACCTAAAAAGTGGTGTATATCTGTTGCTTATAGGCTGAGTATCTGTATTGTGTATTTTAAGGTATCTTTAACACAGTATTTGTTTCTCTCTCCCCATTTGCAACTAGTTTGTCTTTTTTGTGCAGCATGGAGCACCCAAGATGCCTTGAAGGTACAGATGGCATACCCACGTGCTGAGCCTTCTGAAAAGGTTCTCCTTTTGTGTCTTGTGTACCTCTTTAAACATCCAAGGATGCCTCTGGAAGCAGACACAATACTTAAAGCCTTCCCTTCGGTGGCACCACCACTTTTCCTCCTCCCATGTGAAATACCTCCATGCTAGAAGTCGAGATTTCACAGAACTGTAGACAGACCTGTGATCACCACATCCCAAGACACTGTTGATCTCTAGCCCTGACACCAGCAAGTTTAACAGCATCAAATAACAAAGTGGTGCAGTAACATGTTCTCCCTTCTAACTCATGGTCAAATATTTACAGCATTCAGAGTCGTTAAAGTTGGTAGGGACCACAGATGGGGTCATTTGGTCCAACCTCTCTTGGTGTCCCCAGCAAGACTGCATGGCCACAACAGTCTTTTTATTAAGCAGTTTATCCATGAGACCTTCCAAAATGGCTACCAGAAATCTGCCAGGATGCTCCTGAACTGATCTGGTAGCCATGGAGATACACATGATTGTTCCAATCTAAAATTTCAGGAGTCTGAGAACCTCTTGTTCTCCTAAACAACTCTAGCATCCAATTTTTTAGTATCTTTTCAGAAGTCCCGTTCCTGGAGTGACTGAAGAGCTCCTCAGTAAATACAACACAGTCCCAGAAAGGACTAAAAGAGGTTTTTTGTCTTTGTGAATGCATTCAGCATTGGAAGCAAAACGCTGATTTTCAGAGCTCCATTTTTATCATTTTCCAACCTATATTCATTAATATAAAATATAAATGCATGAAGTTATCTGCCTAGAGCTATTGGCTTCCCTATAGATTTGAGAAATAAGAAACACAGAGGAGAATGTCTGATTTGAGGCTTTGAAAGAAATAAATACCCATCTCTTTTTCTCAGTAGGGACAATCTTCAGTAATATCAGAGTTAGAAAAGAGTTGGAGGTGGGAGGACCTCCAAAAATTCATAGATCACACAAAGCTCCTGGCCTGGCATCTTAGCTGCATAAGGTGTGGATGGTTTTAATGGGGCCAGTGCCATTAGCAGCAAGTCAGGGGCTGATATCTTTTGTTCTTAAGAGAACCATTACCAAATCCTTTTCTCCATCCTCCCCACATCTTTCAATAGCCTGGTGGATTGCAGCAGATAAGCGCTGAGTTTATATTAAGCATAAGGTTTCACAGACAATCTAGCTTGTAAGAGCTTTTTAGTCAACTTTGTGATCACAAATAATTGCATGGAATTAATCACTTATATTGTCACTTGGAAATCAAGAATAAAAGTGCTAATTTCTGGAAGCTGGAGAGAGCATACGTGCTATCTACCGAGAAAAACTGATGGAAGTATGCACTAGGGAAGAAAAAGATCTGTGAGGTATCACTGTTTGAAGAATTAGAATGAAACTTAAATGAGAGGATTTAAAAAGAGAACAAAAATGAAGAACAGAAGTGAAAAAAAGCCACAATCAAATACTTGAAACGGAAGCATCAGGGAAAAATGAAAAAACGAAAGTAAAACTCCATATAGATAGTCAGATAGAAAAACTGTATTTGTCAGAGTGATATATAAAGAACCTTTAAGTTCGCAGGGGGAGGGGCAGGGGGAGGTTCAAAAAAACACCAAACCCAAACATACAAAAATTGAAGAGAGGATGATCTAGTGATATAAAATATCAGCAGATCTAAATGGCTAATGGAAAAATCCCAGTCTTGAGGCACATACTCATACTCCATCCCAGTCATAAGGCAAATACATATGCTTAGCTTTACCTCACACAACACCAGTGAGTTCAGCAGTAAGCTCCACCAGAGTAAATCACACTTCTCCCTCTCTTACACCCCCAGTTTCAGCAGATGCAGCCACAGTAAAGGCTGGGGGAAAAAAAGAAGACAGGAATGAAATGCAATTTCCAGTTCAGATAAAACATCAGACTATTAAAAGTACTGAAAGAAAATACTTCTTTATCCTTACAAATGTGGTTCCAAAAAGACCTAAAGGATAGAAAGGGAAAAATGAACATACTGTACCCAGCTTTAAATCTTTTAATTTTGAAAAAGAGACTGTTAGGTTTTTAAGAGATCTTGGTGCCCTGCAATAAGCAACTTTATTGCTAATTGGAACACTGTTTAATAAATTTTCTTCTCTTAATTCTAAGGAGTTTTCTCAGTTTTGATATTCTCTAGAATTATTAGAATCTCTGAAGTGATTCTAGAAGGAAAAAGCAATAAGTTAGTTTTATAAACTTGACCAAAGAAAGAAACTAAATTTCAATTTTCAGCAAAAATGCTTAAAATCCAGAACACATTCTGGAAGAGCACAGTGTTTACCACTCGTATTTATTATATGTTTTTGTTTGTTTTTTTAAAAAAAGTTTGCTTTATTC